ATTCTCTCGAACCTTCTTGAGTTCTTTAAATGGGCTTAGTTTAATGTAGAGAACAGTTCCTCTTGAAGAACGAGTTCCCAAATGACTCAAGATCTTATTCGAGATGACATAAAAATATTTAAGGCTGAGACCCCATGCCGGCTATAAACCCGTTACCGCTCCCTAAAACTATTAATTATAGAGCAGTGGCCAAACAAAACTGACATACTTCAAATACATTTCAAAAATCAACTTTGTATGCTCCAATAATGTAATTTAGCTTAACAGTATGGCTAGGTGGTATATCTATTGGAAAAAAATATCGAAGTAAAACTTGTATCAATCAAAACTTACAAACAAAAATAAAAATCTTAATACGCCCCGACACGGATTTAAATCACTTTAACTTAAAAGTGGAAACGCGTTCTAATGGGCCACTGTGACATATTTATAAATTTATAAATAAAATTCAATTCATAAATAAAACAAAGCCGTTTACAACTCCCTGTAATGCCGAATTGGAGCGCAGCTCTTGAGGAGGAGGAGGGAAGGGTACTGAGGGGAGGGTATACCCCGCCTCCCTCCTTTTCCCTCGTGATCTTTCCTGCTACTCCTCGTCTCCTCATCTTCCTCCCCCACTCCTCTTTCTCCTTCACCTCCTCCCCTCGCCTCCTCCTCTTCCTCTCTCCTCCCCCTCCTCCTCCACCTCCCCCCTACGGCTGGGGGGGTCACGTGACTGGGGGGTCACGTGACCTGGGGGTCCCATGGCATGGGGGGTTACTTGACCTTGCGGTTAAACCGACGGCGACGCCGGCGCCGACGGCGACGCCGACGCCGCGCGAGCCGGAAACGGGTGCCTAAGAGCTGCGCTGTAAAAACGAACGCAAAAGTAACGTGCGTTCCTTTTTATCGTTAACGGTAAAGCGTTCCTTTTATTTGGAGGCTATGTAGGTTGGTAACGCGTTCCTTTATTTTGCAAGTAACGAGTAACGTATTTCGTTACTTTTTTTCGGTAACGCCTACAACACTGCTTCGTAGCAGCAAGAGGCGTGAGAGCAAAACATCACTATCCGTAGGGAACGAGGAATATTTTGCAACTTAAGCTTAGGTTTGGCGTAGCAAGAAAGCTAGAACAAAGGATGCATCAGAAATTGCCGCCTTAAGGCGATCATCGAAGGGACTTGTCTCACAGGCTAGAGAAATCATCTACGGCAATGTGCTCTCTCCTTTTTTGCTGGAAGCGCGGCAAAGGTTTTAGCGTTTTTTTTATTCGTTGAGGAATGAAGCAGCCACTCGAGTCATAATGAATTATGATGTTGTATCATGTCCTAACCAAGTTGCAGTCAATTTTCTCAGTATGTGACTCAACAGAAAGCTTTGTCACTAGCTTTAACGAATCACGTATGCCGGAGGTTGTTCTGACAGAAAGCGAGATATCGAGTTTAATTTTGAATATTATTGTGAAAAAAAAAAGCGTCTGGGCCAGACGATATTCCCAATGAAGTTAACAAAATATACGCAAGGTCGGTATCTCGATATCTTATATTCATTATCCTGGCTTCCCTTGGACAGTTTAGACCACCAGCAGACTGATTATGCGGTAAAAATGTTCCTATCCAAAACTCTGGAAACAAAATGAATGTTCGAGATTACCGTCCCATATTTCTAACATCCACGTGTTGCGAACTTTTGAAACGCGTCGTTTCTAAACATATTAAACAATACTCGGAAGAAAATAACTTACTATGCAAGCATCAGCGTGGTTTCAGGAAAAGTTTATTGACAGTCACGCAATTAATCGAGTATATATACTTTTCAAATGCTTTTGATCGCGTACCACATAACAAATTGATTAAAAAGCTTCATCACGTGGGGCTGAATGAAAATATAATCGCGTGGATCAGTCCTTATTAATGTAATAGGACACAGTACGTTTGTTGTAATAATACATGTTCGGTCCTTCAGCAGTTCGCTCAGGAGTGCCCCAGGAGTCGGTGCTCGGTCCACTTTTCTTCCTACCATATGTGAATGATATAGCAATGATATAGGAAATAATATGCCTCCCGCTGTTTGGATAGAATTATTTGCAGATGATTGCATGCTGTTTTCGAAAGTGCGTACGATTGACGACCAATGATTTGCTCAATGCTGCTCTAAAGAAACACTGCTTGTGGTGGAATAGAGGGAATATGATCATCCATTTTGATAAGACAATGTTCTGAAGCATTTCTAGCAAGATGCATGTCTTAGTTTATTAGCAGAAAACCGGTAGCACTCCACTCATGAAGGTGAAAGAGTGTAAGTACTTGGGTGTTTTGCTCAGTGACACGTTACCAATCATGTAGACTACATTTGCGCAAAAGCTTACAAAAAGTTATTGTTTCAAAGGCATCTCTATACATGCTAATAATGATGGTCGTTTAACGCCTTACAAGTGATATTGGATATTGGAGTATGCATGTGCTATATGGGATCCATATAGGATATATCAAATTTCTAAAAAAAAAAATCTTAGAAAATTTGGCTTTTCGATTTATCTTTTCAAATTACAAGCGCACGAAATCTGTTTCTGCAATGAAACGTGAGGCAGAGCTGGACTCGCTGACAACACGAAGACCAATATCCAGATTAAAATATTTTTGTTTTATTAACGGACTAACAAAGATAGAACAGCAATCGTACTTGCGGCCTTCACAGACAAGTTCTCAGACGGCATGCAACGTTAGAGCAATTGCCCTCTTTCTTTTATAGAACAATAGTAGAATGGAAGGGCTCTGCATGATGTAGTCGTCGGCTGCACGGTCATGAAGTCGTTTGAGCAGAGTACGCGATTGTTTGCCTTCTTAATATACGTAGGCTCGTAGAATATATATGTTACATTTTGTGCAGGGTGACCACCCTGCTTGTACAAACCTGTTACGTATCTGTGTGTGAATATGGTATTATTTTGTTTTTGTACAAATTCTTTTTGCCTCTCGTGCGTCAACCAAAAACTTCGCAGTACTGTAAAAAAAATAACTTGAGGGCAAGTTTAAATTGACTGTCTTTATTTACTTTTTGATATTTTCTTTGGAGCAAACATTCCAATGGCTCACAACAACGTTTTGAAATATTCGCATAAAGAAAAGAGAAAAACTTATTGGCATGTTGGTGACTTCTTATTAAAACAAAGTTTCCCTTAAAACAAACAAAACCTTTAGTATTGATAAAAAATAGAGGGCCACAGCTTTGCTCGCGTCGCAGAATCGCGTGGCCGTAACGTTGCTGGCATCACTTTCAAGTTTCATAATACGCTCATCGTTTCTTAAATAATGTAACCTGTTCATTGTAGATAACGCCATATATTTTCGTAAATCTTCCGACGTACGGAGAGCGATGCACTTAGCACAAACAAGTGGTCACCGGTGTCTTCTGTTCCTTTCACAGCTGAAAGGCTACCAAGAAAAACCCGGTGCGAAATGTGCTCGTCCCAAGCGCCTTTTTATACAAAAATCCCCTCCCTCCCCCCTTAAAAAAAAAATGCCGATGCCATGGTTACGTTTTGGGAGCACATTTTAATATGCACATTTTAATATTTGAATCAGACTAATAGTAATTTATAACTTTACTGGAAGTTTTTAGTTACTTATCATTTATAAACGTCCACACTTTGTTGGTTTGGGGTGGCATTCAAAACGCCGAAAATGAAAATGCCGATTTATCGGAATGCCGAAATTTAAAACACCGAAAATTCAAGAAGATAAGATACAAAAAGCCGAAAAGTTAAAACATCGAAACATCAAAATGCTGGCATCACCTAGTTATAGTGGAAGATAAAGTTTCTTGGCAAGATAAATTTTCGAGGTAATGTGATCAAAATTTGGGGAGAGGATCCGCCGTCCGATGTTCTGGCGCTTTCACCCTCTTTTCTAATCGCCATTAAAAGTTGCCCCCAAGTATAGCTTTCCTTTGCATGGTTCAAGCCTTCAAAAAAAGGAAAAATATATTTCTGCATCTCTCGTCGCATAGCAGAGCGATTCCTTGTTTATTGCATTTCAGACAGATAAGTTGTGTGCAATTTCTCGAAGAAAGCTTACGAGCGTCAACATTGTCCCGGTTGCCCAGAGCAGCTGTCAAAGGATTTTCGCGTAACTTTTGCTTCTTGCTTTGTGAGCGGCGGGGTCGGCCTCTGATCGCTCCCTCGATGTCGTCTTCGACTCTAGCTTGCTCCCTTTTCATGGTGGTGATGAGCCGGAAGACTCTTTACGTGGTGTCCGCCAACCAATATCTCCCATCGTCGGTGCCATATGCCTCAACGGCGTTGTTGCCCCTGGAAAATCCGTTCTGAGTGAGGGCAAGCCTATTTTAGAGGGATCGCGGGAATACCGGTGAACTTCGTATGATCACGGCGGTGTTACCTCCAGCAATATGGCGGCGTGATTTCCCAAGCAGGTGTCCTCTCACCATCGCAGCAGGTCAGGGGCTTCTTGCGGGAAGACTGGTTTCAAAGACGTATAGGCATCTCGTACTTCTTCGGTGGGCAAGTACGAAAGGGCTGCAAGCTGCCTCACCTTGATGACGAAGCCACCTACATCATTTTAGTTGACCACTGCCAGTCCTACGTGCTGTACTCTCCTTTATACTGGTTGGCACAAGTGAAACAGGCATCCATGCACATCCGACGACGGGAGCAACGACCGAATAGCACTGATTGCCGCCAGTTCGATTTTTCTTCGTGGAAAGTAGAAAGTGATCTGGCGGAAAACGAACAAGTTGTAATCACAAAGCGCGTCATTTCTTTTTCGTGTGGTTTTCGGCGTTATGTCTTTTTGGCATTTTCATTATTCTGCATTTTGAATTTTCGGCTTTTCAATTTTTCGCCACTTTAATTTTTCAGCGTACTGACGTTCGGCCTTTTCATAGTTAGGCCTTTTGATTTTCGGCGTTTTGATAGGGACCCGTTGTGTTTGCCCTATAGAGTGCAACTGCGTCGTACAATATAAACTGATTCCCGTTTTCGTTGCTCTTTTCGCCCCTTCAAGTTTTCCATAAGTGCAAGCTGCGGATGCTTCCCCTAATCGCGATGATAAACGATTTCTTGGAGAAGGCAGAAGAAATCATGGTGAGTTCTGTTTTGACGGTAACGCCTCATAGTGACGGCGTTTACCGGTAACGCGTTTCCTTCTTTTTTTTTTTTGTGACGTTTTCTTTGTTACATTTTGAAACCGGTAACGGGTAACGGACTTACACCGCTTATATCAAGCAATGGGTAACGTAGCTACGTTTTCTGTTGCGTCTTATTCTAAAGTCTTAAAACAATTCACTTCAAGTTTTTGGTGTTCCCAGGCACGAAGTTATGTGAATTATTGCACTTATCGCACACGCCTTTAATGTTAAAACCGCAAAAAAGAGAAGGTAATTATATTAAACTGACCATGAAATTATTTTTCAACTTCTTCCTTTTTAGCTTTCTTCCACAACTCGCAAATTGCGCAGCGTTACCAAAGCTACACGGACAAGAGTATACCTCTAGCAGTTCAAAAGGAGGGAAAGGAGGGACTCCCCTCTAGCTCGGACCATCATTTGTATACCCGTACACCGCCATCCTCCCCTTTGAGGATTAGCCCGTCGTTCGAAATTCGGACAGAAGTTGTTTTTCCTTTTGTCATGCCCGTGAATTCCGCAGTACTGCGCGCAACTATCCTCCTTTCACCCCTAAGCTGACAGTGTTGTGGAAGCTACGTTTTCGTTGGACCAGTCACACTGCTATCTTTGCCACGCGATCACGCACCTTCGCGCATACCCACGCGCAGAGAAAGGGGTATTGTGATGAGAGCGGGGGGAGGGGGGGGGGGGGTGATTGGTCCAGCAAGCACGTAGCTCCCACCGTACTGTCAGCTTAGGTGTGAAGGGATCCAGGGCCGGGCGACGTGCTTCGGGTACCGCGTATATAACAGTGAAAAGGCGGAGAGCTTTTGAGGATAGGAGGGACAAAATAGTCCGCTATGTTTTTCAATTTCCGTACCGAAAGCTTGTCGTGCGTGCACATAGCAGTCGAACCTGAGTCGAACCTTTGTCGAACTTTTCACAAGAAGGTCGAAAAAATCGAACTTCGTCGAACTCGAACCTCCACCGGTTCACGACATCCCTACCTATAACAAATCATAGCAGATACAACTTAAAAAAAAAAAAAAAAAGGAAAAAAGGTGAAGTTGTGATTCGTCACTTTTACGCTGCTTCGAAAGACAGCTGACTGGCCTTTCATCTTCTTGGCTCATAGAACAGCTCCTAGAAAACGGTGCTATACTCGCTTTCCCATGAGACAAAAGGAAGCTTTGCACATTCTTCATACGCCACGCGAAGTAGTTCTTACAAGATTTTGTGGTAAAAAATTGGGTTGCGTGTATATTTATACATCCCAGAACTTGGTCCGCCTCAACGGGCGATGAGTCTTGTAGCTGTAGGGGAGCAATTTAGCCAGTGCAGTACAACCGCTAGCCTGGGTCTTTAACGTGCACCATGCAGTAGTGATACACGACCGCACGCCGTTATGTGTTGTAGCTTCATGCTTTGTATTTAATATATTGAAAGGACGCGAAAACAGCATTTGTATACTCTCGTTTTCTGATACGATGCATTGTTCAAGTATTTTCTTTCATTACTTTACAGAAAATAGATTGCGTTGTGAAGGAATTCTCCAAAGGGTTTCCACGGTTCGAGATCGAGTGCATCATGAACGACGACTTCAAGGAGGTACGGGCGCTGTAAGCTGACGCTTGGAAGCTCGCATACGTATACATCAGCTCATTTTTCTGGCTTCATCACCCCCTACTTCTAACCTCAACAACTCATACTTCTAACGTCATCACCTCATGCTTCTGTCGTCATCAATTCACACTCCTTACGTTGTCAAGTCATGCATCTGACGTCATCAACTCATGCATATGACGTTATCAACTCATGGCTTTGATGTAATCAACTTGTGCTTCTAACGTCTGCTTCTGACGTCATTAACTCATGCTTCTAACGTCATCAACTCATGCTTCGGACGTCATAAAATCATGCTTCGGACGTCTTCAACTCAGGTTTCTTATGTCATCACCTCACTTCTATAAGAACACAAATGCACTTCTATAAGCAAATTAGTTCGATCATATTCTGCGCTTGCACAAACGAAGGTCGTGTCAGTCTTGGAATGATAAATTACCTTACGAGAATCGTCATTAAAACGCCAGCTTGGACCACGTCGAGATGTTGTAACACGCGTTTAAAAATATTATTTTGCATCTACCATTTATGCTATTGGCATCTTTGACGTGCAACTGTTCCGGCAGCCGTGACAAATAGTGAAATCCATATGGTTTAGTGAGAACTAAAAAAAAAAAAAATGTGTTTCCTTTAAAACTTTAGTTAAAAGGTTGCATTGCTCTTTCTAAATTGTCATTTTACAGTGGTAATCGATAGGAACATCATGAGGAAGAGGTGATCTTAGAGGGAACTCCGGCGACGTTTTGAGCAACCCCAACTAACTATATTTTTGAAATCGCCATCCTTTACTCTTTCTAATATGTTATTTTGTATCGCGAAATCCAGAATAGTTATTGTGAAATCGGCAAATGAAAATGACGCCAAAACGAAGATTCGAATATACCCGCGCTTTTCATTGCCGTGACGTCACGAATGTGCCGGCTTGCGGTTCGAGCGGGCAGTCTAAAAATGAACTATGCCGAGCATACGTATCGTGCTGCTGCGCGGGAGCTGGAGCGACTTTCCAAAGCATTCATTTGACAACATAAAACTGCTTGTAATCAGTTGAAAACAAAGTCTACAGCCCAAAGAGTGAACCCCTGCACACTCATGACGTCACTTTTTCAATGTTGCCAGTAGAGCTTCTCACCTTGAAAAACACGATGAGGACCAAAATTGTAAATTCTGTAACTTCGCGAAAAAAAAGTTATTTTGTCCAAATATTTGGGTTACTAGTTCAGCGATGTTTGTTGGTGTTTTTAGCAAGTTTTTAGGCAAATCGGAGACTATGAAGAAAACGGCGGAGTACCCCTTTAATTCGCGTTGTACAGGGTATTTCTGAGTGCGACTGGGGCGTGAGAAAATTCTCACAAAACATCAATAAACGGAGTGAATTGAAACTTTTCATAGAGGTGTTTTTAGGTGGGGCGTTTTTCATACACTAATGTAATAAGTGGAAATAAAAAAAAAGCTAAGCGTAGAAAACTTTTTGTTTCTTTTTTCTTTGCACTGGTAGGAAAACGCCAAAAACCTTCGGCTTGACACTAGCTGCTTTCTCATAGATGGCGCCACACACGCTCGGATCTGCTGGGTCTGCTTTCGGGCATTCCTCTCAAAAGAAGCTAAAGTTTTTGGCTTTATGTCGCGCCATCTACGAGTTGCGGCATCAACCAGACGATTTCTATTGTTTTCTTTCCTGCGGAGGAAAAAAAAGTTTATTTCTTCGGCTTAAACTGTTATTCTGAAATCTATACTCGCAAAATTTGAGTAGGAAAATGCACCACCCAAAAGGCACCCTTGTGAAAAGTTTAATTGCACTCAGTTTATTGGCTTGTTTATGCGAATATTTTTACTCCCGAAAAGCGCTCGGAAAGACAATACATATATCATAATTCGTGCAAAAAATATGGCTTTGAGCTAAAGCTAATCGAAGAAATTAACCTATATTTGTAAATATATGCAACGGTGAGCTTTTTTCGGGACCCGGAACGTTACCTGGCGATTCACCCTACTGACTGTAATTGTCGAATTGCCTATTTTCTACTCTACATTTTTTTTTTATGTACACTACGCGATATTGGCGCTTTACTGCATTTTACTCAGGCAGATTACTGACGGGCGGCAAGCTTTACTGCTTAGGCTGCTATCATGAATGAGAAATTTCCGCCACTGTGCTACTTTTTTTGGCAGCCATACAATTTTAAGGGAAAAAAATAGAAGAAAAAGAAGAAAAAAAAAACGGCACTCGCTTGATCGCGATAATGCCCGAGTCCCACTAGAACGACAAACAGAAGCAACCGGCCCCGACAGGACGCAAACACGTGCGGCATGCACGCAGTGATACCTTTGGCGGGATTGCAGTCTCGGTGTTCGTTAGGTAAGCACGAGTGATCGAGTCTGTCGAAGGTACGCGCATTCTCGTGCATGGTGCACGTGCCTGAGGCTGTCGGTGTCGGTTGTTTCTGCCTGTCACTTTGTATTATAGACCTTTCCAATGCTTACAACATCACAGTCCAGCGTGCGATCTTCACAACCCAGCACGTGCATGTTCGTCGCTTCGGAAAGCGAGCAAAGCACGCGCCATACGCATGAACACTCAAGATGGCACCGGCCACACGCCCTTTTTTAAAAAGGTCAATAGACAATAGAAGTTTTGCCGAATTACCCAAGCATCAAAAAGAATGCCGGGAACGTAAATACACGCGTAGCGCATGCTGGCGTCTTCAGCTATAACTGTTCGAAAGCCAAAATCTAAAAGAAATTGCACTTCGCACGTATGGCGTTCCACGGACGCTTTACTGTGGTTATTTAATTCCAATCTGTTCCATTGGGCCCTGGGCAGGAGGTCGAACTATGGGGGAGGGGGGGGGGGGTGGCTTTATCGAGCTTGTCGTCCCCTCAGCCAGGTGTTTACTAACGCAGCAAAACAATGAAATTGAAGTTCGCATGGTCTGGGCACGAGCACTTCGCACTGACCAGTGCTTTGGTCGCACGAGGAGCAACTTTCGAATCATCATCTTAGATATCTTTGATTAAAAACAAATAAGAAAACACGGACTGTTGTCTCCACGGCTGAAACGTACCGCTAGAGCCTTGACAGTTTCATCTCCTCCCCTATACGAAGTATTCACTGGCGGCCATGGCTGTGTGCGTGACTGCTGAGCGCGTGCTGATGGCGAGCTTCCACAGTTCTTTTGTAACGTGCATTCCGCACCCTGAAAATTGCCGGTCTTAGCGGCCTATTAATGTGGGCTCGTTCTGGGCATGCGCTCTAAACAGCACCCACAAATATGGCGCCCAGTGAATACTCCTTAAACGGAAGGCGAGCACGTCCAGCACGTGTACCTATGTTCTGAACATTCTATTCGATGCTTGGGTAATTTAGCGAAAGGTCTATCGCAAGCTTTGCGGCCCGACCGATGCCCCATGGGCATGAGCACGCAAAGCGTGCGCGTGAACGTGGTCTTGACAGGCTTGAATTGCATGTGCTTGCCCGCACGTGCAAAAACATGGCGGCGGCAAGATTCCCTGCTTGCATTCGTCCATACACTTTCCTACAAGGGCGCAGCCACCTTGAATGCCGTCACTTCTGGTATGTGGTAAAACATCGTTTCGATCTCTCTACGACGTTCGAAGGTGTTTACGAAGAATGCGTGATTGTCACACATTCTTCTTATGGCCACTTCTAATAGGGCTAGAGCCACTACACGAGCTGCGCTTAGAGTATGGCACTCTGTTCCCCGACATTGTTGTGGGCGCCGCCATTTTGTTGCTTGTGCAGAGCAGACGCAACTGCCGATCGTCATGATTCAAAAATGCGACTTCCTCAGCATTAAATTTGGTGTTAAGAAGCTCGTGGAATATTGCTTTGCTCTGTCGCGAACTGTTTAATCATTTCTGGAGGGCGGAAAAGTGTTTCCTGTGATTTCAGATAAAGGTTCAGATAACTGGCAACCATAATTTTAAGCCACAATATGGGCAAGTGTCGTTAGTTTGAAGCGCAGCTTATTTAGTGGCACTAAATAGGGCCTGCCAGTTCCGGTCTGAGCATCAAAACGAAAGAGAAAGAAGGAAGAGGAAAAGGTTCGAACAAGACATACACAAACCGAAAAGATAGTCAGCGAGATCGCTGCTTTGAAGCGTTCTTCCGCAGAACGAGCGCTCGCGCTAGAAAGGCATGTCATGTCTCAAAGCCAGGAGTCTCCAAAAAAGGGCTCCTGGCCGGTTTCATTTCAGTGTTCATGCGTATGGCGCGTGATTTGATCGCTTTCCGAAGCGACGGACATGCGCGTGCTGGACTGAGGAGATCGCACGCGGAGATGAGGAGTTGAAAATATTGGAATGGTGCATAGTGGGGTTCAGGCATTACAATGTCGCGCTGTGTAGTACAACCGAAGCCTACAGGTAACCTCGGCAACCATATCCCAACCAGAGCGCATCTGTTCGTATGTCTTTCGAAAATCAAGGATATCGCGTAATCGCATTGTCTTCTTCCACAGGGAATCGAATGCATCAGAGACCGCAATCTGCTGGTAAGATTTGTCAAATTACTCCGGGAGCGAAATGCTGAGTCACTGTGCTGTAAAGGCATACGCGACGTCTGATATTTTCGCAGAAGAGAGCTACTGCGCATGCATGCTTAAAACACGTTCCACAGCCCACCAGAAAAAGATGGCAGCGCCCAGGAGGCGATTATTGGAATGGTCTATTTTATTTACGCGTGTGAAATTCCTGCGGACTTACTCGCTCAGGGAGTAAGTTGGCAGGAGTTTCACACGCGTAAATTGCTGGGAAGTTCCCGGCAACCTGGAGCTATCAAAGCCCGTGCGCGAAATGTTTTCAGGTTGTCAGAGTGAGGTCGCAGAAAGTTGAGTACCACAGCTTTGTCATTTAGATATACACAGGGTGTCCCCCAAAAATATACGCAGGTTTTTTTTGTTTTTGTTTTCACAAGAAAACATACGACAAACCGCCGAACGTACATTGTCCACCCAAATGTAGAGCTCA